CAACTGAGCACTGCCCTTAATGAAGTCATAAAAGTCTCTTAGTAAGCAGTACAAGATGTTCTGCATTCTTCAGACGGCCTTAGAGATTAATGTTTTAAGCAGGATACAGATAAACCCAGAGCATTGCAGAAAATTATTTCATACATATACAATATACTGTTAAATTTATTTTAACCTTTACTCCTGACCAAGCTTATTTTCTTAGTTGCCCTCTTTTGCAACATTACATTATACATATGTATGAAATTCAAGTAACCATTAGATTAAAAGAATATACTAAGAAATCTTCTGTGCTCTGTTTCTTAGTCTAATTTTATTTGCTATCAAGGCAACTTTAAAAAGCTACTATGCCATCCCCTATTGTACACCGCAATCAAATCAACACTAGTCAGTACCTTTCTAGCCTTATTCTCTCAGAAGTAATGTATGTATCTGTACCGTTTCACATTCTTGTAATCTGCTGCAGCACTATGGATGTGTCAAAAACGTGTGGGAAAGGATAAGAGGGAAAAGGTAGCATCTTCATGTTACATTATTTTCATACTTTTTGACACTCACAGACAACTTCTTATTCCTATGTTTCCATGACCTTAGAGAATGTGTCATATAAGGTTCCTGAAAACATGCATAGAATTGGGAGTACTACTTTCTAAAAATCAGTGCCTAAGAACAAGCTGGGTATAGCTGACATTTGCAACAGACAAGACCATCTGTAGGTCAAATGGGATGTGTCAACTGGCAGACAGAGCAGTTTTTGGAAAAGAACCTGAGGCTTCATTTGTAATTTGAGGTTGGGAGCACAAGTTTGTCAATGAAAGGGCACATGCACAGACTACAAATCAAACATCAACAGTACAACCTTTTAAAAACACATAATCTGAAATTTAAAAGTAATTCATCAGATTTTATTCCCCAGAAACATAAGCTGATTTACAGAGACAGAAAACATAACTGCAGAAAATCATCTTTTTGCCCTGAGAGCTAAGAGAAAGGAAAGAAGGTACCAATACCTCCTTATTGCCCCTCACCGCCACACTCTCCCTTTACCGAACTATTTGCAGGTTCTGGAAATTTATTTCCAGGTTTCCAGATTTTAAAAAGTCTATCCTCAAAAGTACAGACTGTAGGAAAAACTATTTCTAAAAGCTACAAAAATTCATCAGCAATGGCTACAGAAAAGCAACTGATAAGTTAAACAGAGCTGTAACATCATCGATGCCAAAATAAATTAGAAAAAAGTTTTAAGTCTATTATCTAGGAAGATCAGTACCACCACCAATAAGTCAATAAAAGTTCTTAAGTGATTGTTTTAAATAGTTAAAAGAAAGATCTGAGAAAAGTCTCTCAAAAGGAGGAATCCTTTCCCTTCACATCCACACTGATGCTCATTCTAGTGAATTGTTAACATTCCCCATCTTGCCTACAAGTAGCAATCCCTTTACAAAGTAACATGTCAGGACCTGAAAACAGGGCACTCTCCAGTTCATAAGGTTGCTTTCAAACATGCTCTGCATCAGAAAAGTTAGGATACTGAAATTATAATCCTAACTGCAGTAAAATGACTTCATGAGATGCTGAAGTTGAGAAGCATTCTGTCTGTATCTTTAAAGAAAAGAAGTAACTTCAACAATTCCAAAAGTAAAAATGAAAAAGCTAGTTTAGATTTACGTGTACCTTTCCAGTTTACCAACAATAAATTAACAATACAGCTTTCAGCTGTTCAAAGCTTATATAAACAGTACTACAGAACAGAATCAGGTATCTACCCTTCTCAAAGCTCTGGCAATAAAAGAAGTCAAAGCATCTAGCCACTTCAGCCAACATTAGAACAAGAGAATGAAAAGCTGGATTTTTAACTTTTTGTAAATTTATGCAGCATGTAACGAATCAGTAAGTAGGATATCACTCAGAAGATAAAGTTCAACTGAAACAATAAAGTGCTTCTGGCACTGACTAGGCTGCTTCATATGACATGTAATTTTATAAACAATTTTTTTTTCTGACTGAATTAATATTCCACACAAGTCTAAGTATGATTGCTAACAATAAAAATTACTGGGAAATTGCTACTGACTAAAATACCGAGTTCAAAGTTTAAAAAAAAAAAAAAAAATCACTAGCAGACACCAACATACATTTCAGGTTTCAAAATAATTCTTTAAATCTTCTAAAGCTAAACCTCATAGGTATTTGAACAACCAAGGGTGAAATAAGAGTTAAGAATTACCATTCTAAGGCTCTGCAAACTAGTTCATTTTAAGTTGCAATATCCTGAGAAACCCAGTTACTTTAACTTTCTTCAGGACTCCTAAAACTTTCTTCTCTGGTGTCTTCAGAGTGTAATCCATTTGAACTAATTCAGTTGATCGTATCAATCTCTGTTCCACTTTAATTCACATCAATGATAATTTCAAGTGTGACAGGTTTAAGGCTATTTTGATATTCTGATTATTTGTCTATTTTTCCAATAGTCTCTGTGAACTTTCCTCTCTGGGTATGCAAGGTATAACACCTATGGAGTCCTGTGTATTGACAATACACAGGACTAAACAACCTAAACAACAATCCTAAAAAACAAAAACAAAACCTAAAACAATCTAAACAGCCACCTGTCCCTTGCCCTGCAAAGTTAACTTCATCCTACTACAACATCTATCTCTCTGTCATCCCAAAACTAATATGGAGGCTGGGGGGAAGGAAATCAGTGTTGGTTTTAGGCAGAGGCAGACTTACAAATTTATTTCTATCCCTTTCTGCTCCATCTTTCCCAGTGCAGAAATTATCTCAATTTTTCTGGTCTGTTATGGACAACTCATATCCACCTACAAGAGCAGAAGGCTCAAGTATCATTATAGAAGTCTCCTCCAAATAGGCACAGAAAAACTAAGACTGACATACCTACGGAGTTTAGGATGGGGGTTTTTTTATTTTATTCTGCCCCTTCTGCCCAAACTTATTTCCATTGGCAGGAACTAAACTACAGCGGGACACTTCTCATCCCATGCCTCTCCTACTGGAATTTAATAACATTAATGCAGTAGCTTTTATTTACTGTATGTAAAGCAACCTCTTGGTAGGTTTCTTTCATAAATACGTCTGTATGAGTTATAGCGAGGACAACAGCAAAGTTATCAGTAGTGGGGACAACTGCAAAAGCAGTATCTCAGATCTGCCATGAAATGTTTCGGCTAAAAAGAAAACTTAAGAGTAGCTAGTGCTGATTTAGATACTTAAAAGCCCACTACTGCTTCATGGTTACCAATAAATACAATCCATTTTTTACAACTGACAGCACTTATTATAAAACCAAAATATTCATGTTTAAGATGGTATTGACCAAAGCATAACTGTTAAATAGCTAGTCTACCTTTAAAACGTGTGTACATGCTCAGTAAAGTTAGCATAGACATCTTTTGTTTAGTCCTGCTAAGAGATGTTCAGCTGGATTTTCAAGGTTCTGCTATTTCTCAAGAGCAGCAAAGACATATTAAATTTTTGCTACACAGGTGTAATATTAAGAGCTAGCATTAAATATGGAAATATGGGAATCACAATAAGCACAAGTAACATTCATCAGCAAATCCAGTGCCACACTGTAACTGGTGTTACAATACCACCTGGTTTTAAACACACCCATCAGCTGTTTCAGAGTCAGCATTGCCACTTGCAAACCCATTCATGTGTTCCAGCAACCGTTAAGGAAGAAAAACAGTCTTCTACAACTATTTCTTGTCCCTCTCAAGAAGAAACTGCCCTGCTCATTAAAGGCAACACAGATGGACAATCCCACAAAACCATTTTGAGATTAAGGCAGGGAGGCATGCAGTGACATGCCTCTCCTGAAGAGCACAAAAGCCTCCAAGATCTATTCGTTAATTAACATATTAATAAAGTACAAGTACCACAAGAAAAAACATTATTATATAAACGATCTCTTTCAGTATTACTTTATAGTAAAGACTTTTTTTCTTCTTCCAAAGTTTCTCCTGCTTCTGATGCAGTGTCTTTCAAATCTATAAAGTATTCCCAGGAAGGCCTCCATAGAATTGTCAAATAACAACGGAGAGTATCTGAATTGTTTTCAAATGCATTTAGAGAATTATAAGTATATAATATATATCATATATATTATATTATTAGTAGAATCATGGTATTATACAATTATAGTAGCATTTACTGTTCTAGCTCGTTTGCAGTTGCACATTAACACTCCATGCGAAGTGTCAGACAATACAAAACTCAAGATCTGAGGATTTATTCAAGATCGAATTCTGCACTGGCTTCCACTTCTAGTATAAGTCATAGCAAAAGGAATCAAACCACAGAACCAGAGGAAAAGTCAAGCCCAACAAATACAATGAGTTTATAATGAAGAACGTATGAAGCATCAACATTGCAGTTGTCCAGTAAAATCTTCTGCTTCCTACTTTATAGGAAGCCTTGATAGTTTTCTATTTTAGTACAGAACTACATACCAATCATCTGATATTAATGATCTTAATAGCTCCTCCTCTTCCAGTTTTCTTAAAAAATCAGATTCCAAAGTGTTACAGTAACTAACACTGACATGAATGGGAAACTTTGATCCTATTTCCAGTTGTTTAAATAATATACCTACAGAAAGCTGATACTATAAAGTTTACTTTTCAAACTAAGCTCCCTGTTTAGCATTATCTGAAGAAACTCAGGAATTAAACATACAGCTCCCACTGGAGGCTGTACTTCATTAGATTCCTTGAAAGATACCAGCATCCGTGTTTTGGTTCTTTCACTCACTACATAAAGTCATAGAAACGTATTTTCTCATAACCTTTTCAAAATAGGCTTCAAACTTGATTAGACAACTCAGTCTTCCAATAAAGGGGAATTACAAAAGAGACACAAAGGATACATTTCCTAAGAGTGTCTTTTTGTCAATTTAAAAAGAGCGAAAACAAAAAGCCCACAAACCAAATCCGTACAAAAAACCAAAACGAACTTGTGTGCAAGCACACACCAACCTGCAACAAAATGGCAGTTTTATGTTGGCTTTTCATTAGGTTGTTGATGGATTCAAAGAGTCTCCTCACAGATTCTTCAAATTCTGTTTGTTCTTTGCCTTCATATAACCTGTTGGGAGATGCACTGGGTTATCCTTTCAGTCAGAAAGTTTCATAGTCCTAAATGTACCAGATTAAACATCACCATAAAAATAAATTCTGTAAGTTGATCCAATATTATGTACATAGATATTTCACCAATGGGTTGTATCTGCTATTCATTGTATTGTGTAGAAATTCTTCAGCTTGAACACAACATAAGCATTTTCAGGTTTTTTAAAAGCCTCTAAAGAATTGCACATCTCAGATTTGAGCTTATAAAAAATGTCATGTTGAAGTGACATATGCAAAAAAGTTTTGTGCTTTTTTTTCCCCCCACAACTGAGCTACCCTAGGATTTTTTTTACAAATTATCAATGTTTCTTTCTTCTGCCGTTATTGCAACTTTTTCAAATAGCTATTTTTACTGTCCCCATTAACCAGTCTGCTTTTTGAAAAAAGTCTACTTGATGCTTAAAAGTTTAAAAGCACATTTAAATTAAGCTCACTCCATTATTTCTTCATTCCCTGTTCTGAAGTTTGAATCTTCCAGAGTACCTCTGCTGTACTGTTCATACCAGCTATTAATACAAAATACTGCTTACATAAACAGTAAAAAAAAAAAACTGGTGACATGTTAAATTAGCCACCTGAAACAGCTGTCAAAAGTCAAAGAAAAACAAGCTAAGAGAAAAGCCAAGGCGATGAGAGAAGCCTGAAATGTGTGTAGGATACTGTGAACTATACGCTGCTCCTCCTATGTACTTGCCTTCTCTATCAGAGGAGAAAAAAAACCCTCTTTTTCAAGTCATGTATTCCAGTGTCATGTGCTTTTCTTTTCAACTTGAAACTTAAGTCCTTAAGAGAACTAAAGGCAAATTAAGAGCTTTTGGCTACAGCAAGGCGGTGTGGGGGGGGTGGCAGGAACAGGGGGGGGGGGGGGGGGGGGGGGGGGAAATCAAAACTGCTATTCATACAGTGACTGGGAAGAAGCTCTGAGGAAAGGAAAACACTGAGAGGTACACTATTCAGGCCCATGGCCTCTGCACAATTTAGGTCAATGCTTGTCACTGAGATTTAAGTCAGTTATTGGAAAGAAGCCCCAAGGTCCAAAACATTGTCTAGAGGGGGAAAAAAAAAAATTATATATACATGCATACAACACACACGAGACGCACACTACTTGAGATACATCCCTATTGAGCTGTGATAGCTTTATAAAAAATACACACCAGAAAAACTTAGATGTGAAATGCATCTTGAAACAAGTACGTTTTAGTACAAGCACATTTACATAGAAAAGTAATCTTGTTAATTATCAAGTGGTATTTTAGGAGCTTGGTTTTGATTAATTTTTTTTAACATACTGGAGTTTGTGGCATGTGAGGGCTATTTAAAATTATTTTTCAATGGGAATGAAGTACATGTAAGTTATAACAACGTGACTGTCGTCTCAGTCTAACTATTTATTAGATATTTGGCTAATGCACTGATACAGCTTTTATTGACTATACATTGCTGCAAAAGTAAATCAAGTTTCTTAAACCTATTTTTTGAGCAAGGGGAAATTTGAAGCTTTCTTAACCAAACCTGTGGGGCAAAGGGGGAGGCCGAAGCATCACACAACATGTATTAAACATGCTTTTTAAATTTACACCAGGACTAATTTAAGCCAGGTAGAATGATAATTCTATTTCCTGACTCACCATCTAGCTTCCATTTAGACATAATTTTCTGTGTTAAATTTCAATTAAAATCACTTGTTCTGAAAGCAAATTTTAAGAGATGACTAATTATTTACTTTGGAAACAACTTCATCACAACGGCGTACATGAATTGCACCATTAAAAATAACCTTAGGCCAATGAAAGGAGGAAAGCAAACATTTCATGTTTTCAAAGTCTGTATTATGTAAACCTTTGGCTAATATATACGACCTTTCTACAAAACATAGTCACTGAACAAACAGTTGCAAGACTTAACCTTAGTTGAGCTGACTGGCATAAAAAAAAATTTTGCTTTCATTACATCTCTATACCTTCAACAGGACTGAACGAATGCAAATTACAGTGGAACTCGGTTATCTTCAATGTATGTGCCTGACAACGGGATAAAAAAAGTCTCCCATTTTACGTCTGACATTAGAAGTCATTATTCATCTTTCCTACACAATTTTCACTTTGCAATGTCTCACTTTTCAACAAGGCATCTTAGTTTCTTAAGCAGCCCTTCAAATTAATGAGAGAATGATCTAAAGTTCTGCCTCAGCTCCATTAATTCAAAATATTTGTCTCCAAGAAGGCTAATCCCAACCCTTGAAAGTGAAGTACTCTAATCATAAATCCTAACTTTTCTCATGGGAAGACAATACATCAATCCATTTTTAATTCTTTTTCATGATCAGTCTGAGAACAGGAAATTGACTGCATAACATCAGATCACAACAGCTACAGATGAATACACAGTATCAGATGATACTGTTCCCTGTTTGGTTATTTTTGCCAGAGGCTACCATTTGCAAGAGCTGTTACCACCTGTAGTAATAATTATCCAACTGAATTTAGAGTTCCAGACTTCCCGCTAAGGCATTCGTAAGGAAAACTAAAAGGAGTAGGTATGTATACCTAATCACTTCCATGTGCAACATATTGCAATAACTCAGTTTACCACAGACTGCCCAATGCACAAATAACTTCTGAATCTTTTTCTACTTCAATCAAAATGTCATAATTCGTCACATATACTTGATTTTACAAAAAGTGTAAACCTACATGGATTTTTTTTAAAAAATAGGCAGTGGAATAACAGAAAAATTGTATTAGAGCCTCACTGAGCAAGAGACAGATAAAACAGAACACTCTTCTGTTGACTGCCAATGACACACGTAACATCCAACCACTCAGTCTACCTATAGTCTTGAATTTGCCACTGCATATCTTGCGCCACTGCATTCCTTCAGCCATGTAGCAGAGGGACAACAGAACAAGTGTTGGGGGAAACCAGCTACGGGTAAGTAGAAAAAGATGAAGCAGAAAAGAAGATAGGAACTACAGGATGTGGATGGGGTCCATGGGATATGGTAAGAGTCCTTAAGGGCTAGGGGAGGAAATGGGAGACACAGTTAATGTAGTGTAGTTTTTCTCCTTCCAGCTTTCATCTTCATTCTCCCTATCTCCTTTTTCCCTAAACCTGAATACCACTTGTAAGTATTACACCCCATCTGTTTGCTTGAGCTTTATGTACATAGTCCATTGAATCTTACCTATAAATTCCTTAACTGGAGATGTGAAACTCTAAATTCAGACAATGATTACCAAAAATTACACTGTTCTATGCACACTCTGAGCTGCTGAACACCATGATCTCAAGTACAAGCATCCAGCTTCAAGCCATCTGTCACAACATTTGGCCATTCATTTGCCATGGGGTCTCTGGAACTTACACTATGAATCAGAAATCACATTTTTGAAGATTCCCTGTCCAAAAAATATCCCAGCAATGTCTGTATTTCAGGCCAGTTGCCAGCTTTTATTTTTTTATTCCTGAAAACAAAAAATACAGTCCTGTTCTGAAATCAATTTTTTCCTCTTTCTCAGGTCTACTTCTGTTTCTGACATTGGACTGCTAGTTAAATGGCAACAGCCGGGGTACTTACTGTGAAAATAATGTCCTTGATCTAACAATGAACTTGAAAACATATTCCAATGCTTTCAGAGTTCTTAGGATAGGTTCACATTGCTCCCCTCGGCTGGAGGTATCCAGGTAAGTCTTCAGAACCGTCATTAATTTCCTGAAATTAAAAAACATTTTTAAAATAATCTTTTCTTTTTAAATTAATTTCTTGAACTTGTTTGGCTACTCTAAATAAATGTTTCTGCTTAGTCAGGCACACACAACAAAAATGTACTGCATGTATTTTTGCATTTCTGTTGCACAAATTCTATCAGCATAAGCAAATGAGGAGCAAATAATCTTAACTGCACAAGCAAGCAACCTGAAATCTCGAAAGAGCAGCATAACTTTACACAATCCTAGAAGCACTTCTACAGAAGTTTATAATATACATGCACAAGATAACACAAAATGTTCCTTCTGCCTACCTGTATTAAGCAGCGAATAAACACCACTACATGGCTCTAAATTAACTGCATCTAAATAGTACCATATTCTGTTACATGGCAGTATCTGCTTAAAGTATATATTTTATTTAAACACTTCCTTATTTTGTATCCAAAGGCAATTTTTGGCTAAACACACAACCTGCTAAAAAAGTGCAAAAGCTCATCTAAAAATAAGTCCCTTAATTGATAGTTATAGTTTCATCTTAAACGAATAAACTAATATTAATGATGCAATCTTCATCTTAATGTAGCCATAATAAGAACTGAAATAAGGGTGGTGGTTTTTTTCCTTACATCACTACAAAAATGGAAACCTACTATCCTCTACCCTAAACAAACAAAACCAAACACCACAAAACAACTAAAACCAAACTAGCACTTGCATGTTGATGAAACTTAACAGTTTACCAACTGGACTGATGGAACGTAAGTGATCACTGGAACATACTTGCATGCAAATAACTGCTGCAACAACTGCTTGCTACTGCACAGAAAATATATGTGTGTGTGTGCATGCGTGTATACATATTTATCTTGCTATCTGCATATGCAATAGACATATCCTCACTCCCACTGCACTAACCCAATTCACGCTTCTGGAACAAAATACCATGCTTTCAGCCTCTCAGCCTTGTGGGCACTACATGCATTGTGTGTTTCCATATACTCCTTTTTATAGCTTCTCTGAATTCACAGCTTTCAACCAAGTTGGAACAAAATTTATCCAACTTGTATGCGGGGGGACTCCACTCAAGGTCTCTCAACTGTCACTGTTAAGTCCTCTCAGAAGTCTATAAAAGCTGAGTACAAATGGATGTCTAAATAGGAACTGAATAAACACCTAAAAGTTTAGCCAAAACACCATATCATTATATGGTCACAATACAGCTGTGACACAGTATCTTCTTCCTAACTACAAGTTAGGCCACATACAGCCAGTTGTTTATTTCATAAACGATTCCTGAAACAGAGTACATGTCCCATGATGTGCAGGGAACCAATGATGCCAAGAAAACTCATAATTTGGAGAACAATCCTAAACATTATTTTCCCTCTGCTACTTAAATTAAATCATCAAAAATTCCCCGTCAGATAAGTCTTAGAAATATTTTAAGCAAATAAGGCTGCCCTGAGAGGTTCCGTAGCCAACCTTCTCTTCTTTCACAATAATATAAAGCATTAGATTACAGGTGCTTATTATATACGGAGTGAAGGAGAATTCAAGAAGAGCATGTAGCTCGTGCTTGAGCTTTCTGAGCCCAATAACGCTAACGTCAACTGCCCTAGAATGTGAGAAAGGACTGATTGTGACCTACTGCCTTCTAGCAAACTCATGTTCTTAATGTATGATCAGCCTGACATTTTCTGTTGAGTTGGAACTGCTTCAAATTCAGCACAGGACACTACAAGATATTCTCAACTATTCCAAACCTTCAGTGAAGGTCTTCCATCTATTATTCATATTCCAAATTAAAGTTCTGCTTTAAGTCTGCCACCCCACTAAGCTGCCAGAACAAGACTTCAGGTAGATGAAAAAAAATACATCTATCCTGTTATAGCATTGCCCCAATATCAGCACTAACTGAAGACGTAAGCTTTCTTCATAATTAAAAGCGATTTTATCCTACCATCATCTGAAAAAAACTTTTTAAAATAAAGTAGGAATCCAGTATTAAATTTACTGTATAACATGTCTCCACATTTTTTACTTTGTTCTATGAATCTATGTCTTCCCATCTGGACTTTATCTGGAAGTTCCAAAACTAAAAAATAAAAAAGAAACCCAACACCAAAAGTCTGTCCACTTGCCCACTGGCATGACCATGTAACAAATACCAAAATTCCAGTTCACAGCATTGAAACCCTTCTGGTGCAGCATCTGACTGTGAACTGCATATGATGACTTGACAGTTCCCAGGTTTTTTTCCCCATGACTTTGTTTGCTCTAAAAGAATAGTGGAAACCTATGTAAGTGGGTTGAGGACATCCCCCAGTCCTCACTTAAGGCATTTCATGTTAAGGTCAGGAATGTAAAGGGAGAGACTTCACAACAAAGTATCTTTTGACAAATTTGACAGGAAACAGGTGAAGGGCTCAGACACAGCAAAATCCAGACAAGGGAAAATGAAGGCCAAAGAATCATATAACCCCAAATCAATTACTATTTGTCAATTAACTCCACTTACAATCATACACATCTCTCACAGGCAAGTTTGTTTCCAGATAAGCAAACAGCGGCATCAAATCAACAGTCACCATTATTACATTACAAAAGTCACAAAAGCGAAAGAAACAAACTTACTTGTACGCCAGAGTTGCACTAAAATGCTGTTGGATATATGCTTCCAAAACAGTGTTAAAATGTTGAAACTTACGGTCTGCAATGAGTCCTATGATATATATCTAAACAAACATGGACATAATTAGCATTTTTCATAAAATCACGTTTTTTATTTAAATATGTGTCTTCTGAAATATTTTTGATCATCGACTATTTCAGAGTTTTAAAAGAAATTTACTTTTCAGTCAAATAGTAATATTTCATCTATTCTGTAGAGACTTTAACACTAATTCCCTGAAATACACAACTTGATAACTCATTCAAAACTAGGGTTCTTTACTTTGACAAATAAAGTCCTTCAGTGCTGATTCTTACCAGTGCATCAAAAACAAGGATGTCATACTCATTACTGTGGGAATGTTCCATCATAATGTTAAACAGGGCATCCAACGTATCTTGGAGAAACTATAGAATAATATGAAATAACAAATTGGCAACCAGTTCAACTTGAAAAATCTCACAAGTCAGTTTTCAGATAATAGACTTGGCTTCTCTCAAATTAGAATTTTAAAGGCCTTCACTGAAACATCACTTAAATTCAGAAAACATTTCTGAGCATTTAGGTAGGCTCTAGTTTCTTTAATTTTAAGAACCTACATCCTCAGACACAGGAGCAATCAATAATACATATTTAACTCAAACCTTACGGAAAATCTAAAAATATTACATAAACAACATAACTCTCTAAAACTGCATTCCTAGTTTCTTAGTGATGCAGATTAGTAGTTGCTATTTTCGCATATACATGATGATTAAAAACACACTTCGTACTTCTGTGGTCTGATTCAAAGCCCACCTTAAACCGAAGCAAAGTACCCCAGTGACATGGGACCCAAAACTTAATTTGGGGTAAAAAAAAAAAAAAAAAAAAAAAAATCCTTTTTCTTTTTAAGTTCTCCTTCCTCCTTCTCTCCAGAGAGGCATCTAATCCTTATATTTAACAAGTAACACAAATATTAACAACTTTTTATTCATATTATAGTAATTAAATTAACAAAGCACTTCATTGGGTACATAATACACCTTTTTTTTTTTAATATCACCATGTATCATTAATATTAAGAACTGTAAAGAAAGCAGTAGGAATTGTTTGTGATGTTGCAGATAGACAAAAGCAAAGAGTGAAACAGAGATTGTGGAAAATACTCTACCATTACCACCTTCATAGTCTATCAATTTTTAAATAAAATTTTCTGTGCATGCTCAAAATTAAAGTTTTCCCATGACATATACGTAAGCACCTGGCCAAAGCAATAATGACCCCACATAACATTCTTGGTATTGAATTCTCCAATCATGCACAAAATTTGCAGCCAAATAAAACAATGGAAAGCAGAAAAAGATTCTAAAAAATTAATTACCAGTGAAGTCAGCCAGATTTGTCTAGTAATCTTGCAAATCTCCACAGCCTAACAGCAGCCAATAACTTGTTTTTCTAGCAACAAGTAGAAAAAAGATGGCTAACACTATGAAGAATCCTGTCCAGGTGCTTGCTTGCTTGCTCCCTCTTAATGAAGAGCTTTGTTGATGTCTTCTGCAAACTATCCCTACAAAGCTATTACACTGAATGACACTCACAAAAGAAAGCATAATTGACAGGCTTCTTTAAGCTCCTATGTTTACTGTAACTGGCCCTCCAGTTTCTCTTTCTTTTTTAAACTACGTAGCATTTTTACTGCCAATGCATGGACAGACATGAAGAATAACTATATAAAGGTATACCTTCACAACTTCCTCTCCATCCACAATCTTCAGTTTTTCTAGGTTCTCCTGAAGCAGCTCTGGCTTCATACGCCACTTCAAGAGACCTAGTAAGCCCACTAATAGAAAATAAAAGGACAGACATTAAAACTCAAAATGTGATTTATCATTTGTGCAAATGTCTCCTTCCTAAAACTTCTACCTGTTTAGAAGATACGTACCATTCTGAGTTAACTTTGTAGAACAAACAAGAGTTGAAATACAAAACGCATCTCGTGAGCTTACTGAAAGCCCCCCTACAATACTTGAATTCCTGACTACGGTTGCTCCTTTATTTTCTATGTGTTGACGTGTAGAAGGTAATGCCAAGTAAGCACTAGCATCCTCCATTTTTTTACTGTCCCCCTGAAAAACAACATACCATTTATTACATATTTCACACCACTGGACTTAAAATTAGATTTATTTTCTACTTTCTACAAAAGTAAACAAAAAACTATGTTTCTATGGACTTAAATGCACACATTGAAAGATAAAGATTCTTCGAGTCCCAGCATGGCCTGTACAGGTAAACCAAGCATCAATGTTAGTCAGCAAGAAAGGCCACAAGGAACATGCAGGGAAAATACTACATTGACATTATAAAGGTATGTGTTTTAAGGTGCAGTAAGGAACTATGAGGGGTGACATCACTGGCAGAGTAAAAGCGAGAGCCCATTTCTCATTAAAATGTCAATAGCTACGGAACACAATAGACTATTCAGCATCACCTTGAAGACTGTACACAGGATATAGACAACACGCTTACAATGTCTGCACACAATTTAAGAATAGAAAATGTGAAAGAATAGCAGCGCTATTTTGGTATGCCCATTATAACTTAATACCTGGACCTTTAACACAAAAGATCAGGACATGGTAAGGCTATATTTTAAATTAGACAATATGCTGCCATAACTAAGTGACACAGGTATCACAGAATTTATGCTTTTCAGTAGAATAAACAGTACAAAAACCAGAGACCCAACAGGTATTTTTCCCTCCCCTATTTCACCAAGTTGCACGCCACAATCCTCACAGATTTTTTTTTGTATCTCAACTTTTGATCCATACCCCAGAGAGGAAAGCAAGTTTTAGACAATAAAAATCATACTCCTCACTGCTTAGAGAAAATAATTTTTCTTTAACAAAAACTACTCAAGAAAATTTCCCCAATGAGTTTATGAGCGCAGTCACTTAAAGCTACAACACCATAACAGGTCTGACTCAACTGCAGATCCCTAGTCTACAGTTGTTCATAAACAAGGAGTTACAAAAAACATAATCTAAAATTATTTTCTAAAGTTTTCGGTTTGTATCTGATTCAGTGGCTGTAGGTGTGTAGTCTCTACATCCTATCAAACAAGAAGATTAAAAATTTACTATAAAGAGACCTAAATAGACAAAAGGCAAAATCCTTATGCAGCAAAACAGACAGCATTACTGACATTTATGATTGTAACATGCTCGCAAAATAATTACTTCTCAGAATTTCCAGAACCAGAAAAGAATCTTGACTTCCTCTTTTTGAGACAAGTTAGGCAGTGGGGAAAAGACTTAAGATTTTGATCAAAAAGTCTCTCAAAAAGATTCAATGCCTGAAGGCAGTGAAAATAAAGTACACTGTTTAAACTTTGCAGTTTTCAAATTATTTATTTCAAGAGGTCAAATGTTTAAAACACAGCTTACAACTACTGTTTTTAATACTAGAATAGGCAAGCATATGGCAGAAAATCTGTCTGCTTCTCTCAAACATAAACTAGGTCAACTCCATTTAGCGTTTCACATCCATGTTGTCACTTAAGCAAAAATTGCAGGGTTGATGCAGAAATTAATTCCATGGAATTTCACAACCAACATTAACCACACAGTCATACAACGTGATCATTATTTTCCTTATGGCCCAAGTTTTTATCAATGTTGGTATCAATTAATGGAAGATAAACAACTACATACTGCCATTAATCTTTGTTGGACTACCTAAACAACCTCATTTAGTTGTATGCATCTCACTTGCCATTAATGTCACAGCAAACTAGTTTACTGAAAAGAGCATTAAGAAATACCTGAAGTAACATTTCATCCGTATGGGAAACGATTTCTGGTTCTTAGTCCCTGCTAGACACTATTCTCCAAGGAAAAAAACCCCAACAAATCACAAAAACAAAAAACAAATCCTGAAACATCTGTTCTCTGCTTTAGTTCAGTCAAAAATGCTACCTGTGTCTAATCACGAATAGCCAAAACTATTCTTCACATCCACCATCAAATTGCTGAAACTTTCACTTTTGTACCCGAGTAACTACACAGAGCACTTTCAACCAACCAATTCCCTAACATTACATTCCCCAATTATTCAAGTGACAAAGTAAAAATAGTAAGAAGAATAACAGTCGCTCATTGTGCTTAGATAATCTCTCTCTCATTAAAATTTAGAGCAACACATCCTGACCATGGAAAGAGTTACACCATTTTTTTTTTTAGATGAAAAACATAGTATTTATCTTTGATAGAATAATAAAATTAATCTAGCACTAAGAAAATAAACAATGCAGTCAAAGACAATGGTGTGAAAAAAAGTGTCTTACGGGGGAAACAGCGGAAAAAAAATTGATCCAATACCTTTAGGACTAACAAATCATGGATGCCATCTTGAAGAGTAGTCCCATCCTCCTTCATTAGTCTTATGTAGGCCATTGCAAAATTCTTTTCTCCTTTATCTTTAGCTGTAAAGCAAAGTATTTGCAGTTGACTATCCATCAATGAATTAAAATTCACTAAAGTAAAAATTCCCTACTTACACTCTTGAGATGACCTGTGTCTGAACATGAAGCGCAGATGTATCCTTTGCATGTCTTCAATAGGGACTGCTACCTTTTGTAAAATCAGAAAATAATCAATGGATTTACGAGGGATGAGACTGGAAGGTGGTTTCACATGTAATTAGCTCCAATTTTAGAATAAATAAGCACCACTTCTGCTGGCTCCATAATACCTTTCACAGACCATTTAAAACTATTGAGCGTGATCACAGTAGCAGAAGTGGTGGCTGATAAGCACCTATCTGTTAGACTTTGCTCAAGGTCTAGCTCCACCTAAGAAATGAAGCACTGAACCCAGTGAGTTAAAGCACATAGGTGCTTGTATACTAGAAAGTAAGTACACTGCAGTCTTCCTACCCACCATGTTAACTGTATAGAATTACGCAACACCTCTGCACCATCAAGCTTCCACATTTCATATACATAAATTGATGACCAACTTAATAAACAAGTGAAAAAGGTATGGAAATTATAGTGAAATAAATTAAGTACATTTTTGTGATTAAATTCAGTTTCAAAGCCTTAAGTAGAATCCAAGGAACTCATGAGTCCTTTATTCTTAAAGTAGCATACCTACTTGTAACAAACATGCAACAAAAAAGGTCAATAGTGTAAGAAAAAGCACAAATTTTTATATCGTCAAGTTCTAAAACTTTAAAGACTTGTACTCCTTTATGTTCATTCGCAACCTCCCTTTGCAAATCTTGCTGCAGAACACTCCTTCATGTTAACTACACTTTTCAAAATTATCTATTGTTAGTGATTCTGTATAAAAATCTGAATTACAGAATAATTTTTAAAAGAAACTAGTATTGTAAGCAGAAAACAGAATGGGTCAATGTTTTCAAAACCACAAATAAGCTTCTGTTTAAAATTAGAATTCACTTCCACTCCCTCCCTATCCTGCCCAATCTCAGCAACACACCTTAGTGTAGTAATTGCAAGGTTTGCCATGCCTGGCCATACTGTCTTCAATAGTCATCCTCAAAAAAAGTCATGCTTGTTAGCAAGCCCAAAGCATCCTTTATAAGAACTACTTCTGGAAGCTTCTGGTCATTTTCCAATCAAAGACATTAAAACTAGATTAGTTAGTTATTGGTGTGTCTCTAAGAAAAGAATAAATTTTCTAAAGAAATTTTCTAAAGAAATCCAAGACATCTTTTTATCTCTAAAATTGGGGGTAGGGGTGCAGGTGGGGGAGTGTTTTAGCATTTGCTGCCTTTTTTTCTGCACTTGAAGGTCCTCATCTCCATTGTTTTACCACAATAGAACAAATGCGATATTTCATTTTTGATGAGCCATTTTAGGACATAAGGTTACCTAAGACAACCTCATTTGATCTGCTAAACAAAATCTAGGCCAAGTTTTAAGCCTCAGTAATCATATATCTCTAATAACTGATGTATGACTAAGGCTCCATCCCTCTAGCTGTACTTGGGACCAAGCTATTTTTTTAGAAAAAGCTGATGTGGTGCCAACTTTTCTCTGTAAGGTACCAAAAAATGAAGAGAAAAAAATCAAGTGAAAAGCATCTACACCATACCTTTAACGTTTCCATCCAACGTGGCTGTTTGACCTGATAGTAAAGAACTGATCTATATTCACTCACGGGTTTGTCCCCCGCTCCCAGGCAAACCGCATTCTTACAAAAAGAAGGGAATAAAGAGTGCTTAGTGCCTCATTAATTTCTGTAAATTTTTATGACTCGAGCAAAACCAACCGAAGAAGCAGGC